GTGTGGCTTGCTCTGGTGCTCCAAGGAGTCAGAAAGGCCCTTCCAGTAGAAGGTTTGAATGAAGGTTCCTGATGCTTCTTTCCCTGCCTTACTTTTGCTTCACCACTGGACTCTGGTAACCCCACCACCAATCTCCATTAACCCAGTCTCTGTGGCCCAGTTCTGTCCAAAAAGCAAATGTCCCAGGGCTTTGCACCTGCCAGAGTCAAAGTAAAGTCAATGCCTCCTCCTCTCAGCTACCACTCTCTGCCACCAGCCAGCAGAGGGAGCTGAAGCCTGCCTGCATCACGTACTCAGTGGCAACTGGGGAGTGTTCCAGCTGAGCTCAATCTAAACCTGAGGCTATCCAGAAAGCAAGAGTATTTCTCCCTCAGCCACCACACCTTTGCCGCTGCTGTTCTGCAGCTCTGGTATCCCTGGAGGGCAAGGTCTGGTTCCCTCTGGCAGACCACAGAGTTGGGGAGGTGACTCTCCAAAGTTAGACCCCAGCAGGATCGCTCTATTAATGTTGGGTGGGAGGTGGGTGATGTTGGGTGGGAGGTGTCTCCACTTGGGTTTTTACACTCAGCAGATCCCGAGTCTCCACCTGTAACATGGAGACCCACGCCTCTGTCCGCTGCTGAGATACACTTTCTCAGAGCCAGGCCAGACACCTTCCCTTCTGTGTCTTTCTGCACTGTTACTGAATTCACAGATACAGCATAGCTGTGCTGCCAATGTCTATGCAATGCCCAGTCCTAGCCAAGAAGTGTGGACATTCTGGTCTCTGCAGGGGTTGGGCTTCTAGACCACAAGGCTAGGGGGGAGGGGTAGACTGGAAGTTCAAGATGGTAGGGAAAATATTTGTTCAAACTTCCTGTCAGACAAGGGAATTCCTAGGCTCACAGCAGGAACTCTCTGGAGGAGTCCCAGCTTCTAGCAAGTCACTACGGTGGGGTGAGAGAAGAGAACCTCAGTTCACTGCTCACTAGTAGAGATCCCACAGTAAGCAAGCAACTCTCTTGGGGGAGGGGCCTGACGCACATCCTCTTTGGGGTGAGTTCTGTACCTGAAATTTGTTTCCTTGGAGTCGTAGCTTGCCTTGGCAGAAGACATGCAATTGTCTATCTCTTCTCTCAGCTTGGTTCCCACCCTTTGGCTTTGTTGGGTTCTTTCTGGCCATTATCTCTCCCTCTGGACTGGAGCTTCTGTTGAAAGCTGGCTTCAGTCAGCCATCATGCCACCTTCCCCTGGAGTTAGGGAAAATAGCCAACCTGAGGATTTAGTAAAACATAAGACACATTGAAACAAAATGAACAAATAAACAAACAAAAAAGCAGCCAGACACACAAGCACACAGATACACAATCAGAAACAAATAAACAGAGAAAATAAAAAATAATAATTAAAAAACTCTAATAGCCTTATGTAAGTGCTCTCAGCAACCATAAGAAGGAAAGAAGAGAAAAAGAAAAAAAAATAGTATTAATAATAATTTAAAAAATTAACAATAACTCCTATAAGAAAAGGAAAAAGCGCAAAAGAGCAAAAATAACAAAGAAAGATAAAAGAAAGGAAAAAAATGGCACCACCAACAAAAATGTTGTTCATATGTATACATATATATATATATACACATATACATACATATATATAACGTAAGACTGTATGTATGCTGTAGGGATCAACTTTAGCAGGAATATATCTATGTTGCAATATACTTTCTGGACACCAGGTGGCGCTGTGAGTGGTTGCCAGGCTTATACCTGATTCATGGTTTATACTTTTTTTGGTGGTTGCCTGGCTATCTGTTTGGTGCTTAGACCCCACCGAGTTGTCGATTTCACCAATTTCAAAAAAAATCTTCACAGGCAAGTTTCACAAATTCTCCCTTCAACAGTGCCTGTGAAGTGCAGGGTATCCTGGACCTGCTCTGGGTGCAGGATAGCTGCTGCAGGTGAGACTCAAATCCCCACACCTGGCCCATGGGAAAAGGTGCCTGTGGCAGTTGCCATTTCCAAAATTTCAGAATATATCTGCTTCCTTAGTGGGATCCTTCCCGCCTTAGTCTCTCTCCACTGCCTAGCCCCAGCTGTGCCCTCCAGACAGCCCCCCTATCTGACCGCCAAATTCCGCTCAGGAGTCCTCGCTTCACCAATTTTTCCACACAACATCTAGTTTCCCCATGAGCTAGGAATTATAATCTTCCATGGTGGGGAGGGGCTGGTCACCCCTGCCAGCACCCACTGCTTTAGCAGTGGCACAGAAACTTTTCAGGCAGACTCCGCAGCTCTGGATTACACTTCTAGTCCAGGAATCTCCCCCTTCGCTGCATACCCCGAACTGCCTGTCTGCACCAATATTCCCTACTGGGAATGATCTAGCCCACCCACTCTCACCTGTTATTCCAGGAGAGCTGAACTAAACGTCTATCCCATCTGCCATCATGCTATACCTCCTAGACCCCTAGAACTGTTGATTTCTCCATGGGGGAGGGGTTGGTTGCCACTGCTGATGGCCACCACTTCAGTAGAGGCACAGAAAGTTTTGTGGTAGACTCTGCAGCTCTGGATTACACTC